GGAACATCCGCCTTATGAGGAAAGGCTGAAGGAGCTGGGTCTCTTCAGCTTGGAGAAGAGGAGCCTGAGGGGTGACCTCATTAATGTTTATAAATATGTTAAGGGGGAGTGTCAGGAGGATGGAGCCAGGCTCTTTTGTCCAATGACAGGAGAAGGGCCGACAGGTGCAAGCTGGAGCACAGGAGGTTCCACAAAAACCTTAGGAAAAACTTTTTCACTGTGAGAGTGCCAGAGCACTGGCACAGGCTGCCCAGGGAGGTTGTGGAGTCTCCTTCTCTGGAGACTTTGAAAACTCACCTGAACGCGTTCTTGTGTGACCTCCTCTTGGTGATCCTGCTCTGGCAGGGGGATTGGACTCGATGATCTTTCGAGGTCCCTTCCAACCCTGAACATTCTATGATTCTGTGAACTGTTGTCTTTGATCTGTGGTGACCAAATGCAGTCTTTTGTTTCTGTTTTAATTGGATCCATATGTATCTTCTGAATTTGCAGGCCTACGTTGTCTTTGTTACAACGTTAGGGGGTCAGTGGTTGGAGCGCAACTTTGCTACGTTTTTGTCACATGTACTTGATCTGGTCTCACATCCTCGTGCAACTCAGACCCATGTGGATGCAGTTTACTCTCGAAGATGTGTGTCCTTTATCCTGAGAGCAACTGTGGGAAGCCTACTCGGGGAGAAAGCACAGATTGCAGCTGCCAAAGACATATGTCAAGCCATTGGTAAACAAATGAAGGCAGTGGGTGAGAACCATTTTTCTTTATTTGAGACCAGTTGAAACTCACTGTCATTATACTGGGTCAGCTGGTTTTCATCTTCCATCTTCTGCGAGGACTAATTCTGTTGTAATGGCAAAAGATGATTCATCTGCTTTCTGTTTGAGATGCGCTATCCAAAATCTATGTTCTACTTAAAAAACGATTGTGTAAAGCTCGCTTGTTACCCTGTGGTGTCTTTTGGCATTTGCATTTGTTTAGAAGGGAATTGAGGAAAAGAGTGCATTTGCAATCTAGCTTGGGATAGGTTGTATTGAAAGTTGCATGGAATTCTTTACTGCTAGTGTTGAAAATCTTGTAGGTCATGATCTTATAGATCCTTGTGTATCCCCCACGAATATCCATACTGAAATCCAATTGGATTTTACAGGTGACGAAGAAATCTGAAAACTGAAATTAGACAAGATAAGTGTGGCCCTTTTGTATGTAATCACTAGGAGGACTGACAAAACTGTGTTAACATTTGTTTCTTACTAAATTACTTAATCTGAGCGTGAGTTTGAGAAAGTAGACTGGAATTACACAACAATACATTTACCAAGCATCCGTTTCTTCTCCTTTTCTGCTGCCATCTAATTTGAGTTTAAAGTAATGTTTGACATTTAAAAATAGAATTGATTTTAAAACTTTTTCAGGCTCTTGTAACTATTTTTTGTTAGAGATAGAATAAATATGGAACCTTAAAAAGATCATAAATTGTGGAAGTGTGGTCTCGATGATCGAGTAGTGAGGTGGATTGTGAACTGGTTGAAGGAAAGAAGTCAGAGAGTTGTGGTCTATGGGATAGAATCTAGTTGGAGGCCTGTATCTAGTGGAATCCCTCGGGAGTCGGTACTGGGACCAGTACTATTCAGTATATTCAACGACCTGGATGAGGGAACAGAGAGCACTGTCAGCAAGTTTGCAGCTGACACAAAATTGGGAGGAGTGGCTGACACACCAGAGGGCTGTGCTGCCATTCAGTGAGACCCAGACAGGCTGGAGAGTTGGGCAGGGAGAAATTTTGTGAAAGACAACAAGGGCAAGTGTAGAGTTTTGCACCTGGGAAAGGACAACCCCATGTGCCAGTATGGGTTGGGGACTGACCTGTTGGAGAGCAGCGCAGGGGAAAGGGACCTGAGAGTCCTGGTGGGCAACAGGATGACGGTGAGCCAGCAATGTGCCCTCGTGGCCAAGAAGGCCAATGGCATCCTGGGGTGTGTTAGAAGGGGAGTAGCTAGTACGTCGAGAGAGGTCCTCCTTCCCTTCTATTCTGCCCTGGTGAGGCCACATCTGGAATATTGTGTCCGGTACTGGGCCTCTCAGCTCAAGAGAAACAGGGAACTGCTTGAGAGAATCCAGCGCAGAGCCACAAAGTCGATGTAGAGGGTGAGTGTCAGGAGGATGGAGCTAGGCGCTTCTCAGTGATGTCCAGTGATGGGACAGGGGCCAATGGGTGCAAGCTGAAGCATACAAGGTACCACAAAAACACTAGGAAAAGCTTTTTCACTGTGAGGGTGACAGAGCACTGGAACAGAGAGGTTGAGGAGTCTCCTTCTCTGGAGACTTTGAAAACTCACCTGGATGTGTTTCGGTGTGACCTGCTCTAGGTGATCCTGCTCTGGCAGGAGGGGTGGACTCGGTGATTGGTCCCTTCCAGTGCTGAACATTCTGTGATTCTAACTACAATGGCTATTAGTACCAAGAAAAATTAGTTCATTGGAACTCTTTCTTCCGAGATGAAACAGTTGCAGGAATTTCCATTATGTATTTGAATGATCAGAGCTCTTTTTTAAGCATCTGTGATGAATTTGGTGACAAATTGGAAGTATTTTTAATTGATAATGATTGCCTTCCTTCATAGAAGAGGATTATTTTCTAAATTTTTACTGTAGTAGACATAAATATTAAGGTGGTGCTAAAGTCTTTTTCCTTTGAAGTGACAGTTGCTGCTTCTGGGATATTGTGTAGGAGAAGGAATGTACAGTGGGATCTAGGAACCTAAACGGATAAATTTTAATATTAATAGAGGTTGTGTGCTAAATGTGTGTGTGAGATTTTTAATTTATTCAGGTTTTTTCCATATATATGCATGCAATATTATATATGTATGCAGAACTTAAATATGTTATGACTATATTTTTAGTTACTGTGTGTAGATACAATACACACATGCTGCATATGTATATACTTGCTTTTCTGTGTTATACGGTTTATCCTAACTTTTAGTGCACTGCCATCTGTAGTAACTGTGGATCTGTTTCTGTGGATCTGTCTTTAGATGATTGTATTTGGTCAATAGCTGTAAAATTATTTCTCTTCAGAATGTGTTTGCTTTGTGAATCACATTATGACCAAACTTGTGGTTTTGTTTTAATAGAGGGGTTGATGTAAAAATTAAACTGTCTCTTTATATCTGTATATGTTCAGGTGTGATTCAAATGGTAGTTAAACAAGACATGTTTATCTTCTCTGCAGAAGCAGTAGTGAATGACACTAACAGTGAAAATAAGTCAGGAGCTGCTGATGTAGCTGCAAGCCAGCATGTAATGGTGTGTGCTCTCCAGGAACTGGGCAGTCTTGTTCAGAGTCTGAATGCCACTGCATCTCCTCTTATTCAAGAACCCTCTATTGGTATGCAAATAAATTTAAGTAGATTAAATGAGACATTTGGGTTATTAATATGAAATATTGTTAAATGTGGTTAAATAATAAAATCAATATATAAGAAATGGTGAAATTGACACTCCTTGTAGTACTCTCATTGACTACATTTGTCCCACTTGTTATGTTTAGTCCCCTAACTGTAGTTCAGGTTTGACAAAGTATTAAGCAACTTTGATCAAAGTCTACCTGAAGCTCCTTTTAGAGTGAATAAAGGTGTAAAGCTGTGATTTTTAGCATTGATTTATTTCTAGTAATGATTTTATAGTAAATAGCTTGTTTTGCTATGTAAGGTCTGACATACTTACTTCTAGAAAGCTGTATTGCCCTCAGATATAAAATTTCTGTGAGGAGGTTAAGAGTATTTTTAGGTGAAGCTGTTGATAGTCCCATTTAAAAAGCTAGTTATCTGGCTTAAGCTGATTAGGCTTTCTGTGGATTTTCTTGTTTTAATGTCTGAATCCACATTTGAACTGTAGTGTTGCAGTGAAGTTTTTTCATTTTATGGTGCCTACATGTTTTCCAGTGGAAAGGCAGGCTCCAATTAGACATTTAGTTATGTAGATTGTTGTTCTTATGCATATGACATTTTTCTTATACTGATTTTACTCCAGCTATGGGTTGGGAAAAGCTGTGCTCATATTTATTCCTTTTGGCTGCTGTGCCCTGTAAGGACAGAGGGGACTGGGTCTCAGTGTTTTTGTTTTTGTTTGTTTGTTTGTTTGTTTGTTTTGTGTGGTGTGTTTTTTTCTGTTAAGTGCAATGAGTTATGTAGGTACAAGTTGTTCACTAGCTGCAGTGAAAGCAAAAGAAAAAGGCAACAGTGAGGGCAGGGATTCTGAAGTAGGAGTTTACAAAGTTGGAGATCTGGACAGAGGGAAGTGTTGGTGTGGACACAGATGGGACTGAAGAGCTCACAGACAATGGGCTTAGCTAAGCATGGAGATTTAGAAAGTGTAGAAGAATGGTAACTTGGTGCAGGGGACACAGCACTGTCAAAAACAGAGTACAGTGATCAGTGACATCTATAGCACATGCTTGTCTTCATTGTGAAGTGAAACTGAAGATCAGTCTTATGTTGCTCTGTTATCGACAGTCAGTGTCAAAGATTGTCAGATTGCAGGAATCATCCAATGCCCATGTCTCTTGTCAGTTGGTCAAGCAGTAGAAGTCAGTCTCAGGCAGCTTCAGCTTTGCTGGTGAAGCCTGATGTGGAGCAGCATAATGCTTAAACACACTTTCTTTAAAGAAAGTCATAAAATTGAAGTACTTTAATTCTGATTTATTAACTTCCATGTTGTGTGTCTAGTATTGATTCAGTTTGCTTGTCTGCTAATATTAAAAAGCACATCTGAACTCTTAAGACTGCAAACTCTCTTTTCTGTAGGCCTGTTGGAGACAGTAACGTCAGTTCTTCTTCATCCCAGCATGGCTGCTCGACTTGCTGCCGCATGGTGCTTGCGGTGCGTAGCTGTGGCATTGCCTTTTCAGCTGGCTCCGTTTTTAGACAGATGTGCAGAAAGACTGAACAATCTGAAGACCTCTCCTGAAGCTGTTAGTGGCTACAGTTTTGCCATGGCTGCTTTGTTAGGTGGAGTCCATCAGTGTCCCTTGGGTATTCCTCATGCCAAAGGAAAGGTGAGATCATGAGAGTTTCATCCCTGAGTGTACTAAAAGATACCTTTTGGTCTAGAAGTAATAGCTTTGCAAAATGTGTGACAAGGTAATGACTTAAAACATTACTAAAATGGAACTTGTGGCTAGTAAGAGAGCAGTGGCCAGGGAATGTATTTGTAGTATTTCGGTTGCAATATTTACCAGCTTTTTCCCCCTCTCTATCCCAACTGCATTCTTGTTTGGCATATTAATGAGTAATTACTGAAGAGAGCATTAATGTTTGTGTTGTCATAAGCAAAACATCTGCATGAAATGCAGCCTACATGCACTCTATATGGAAAGTCAATTTAACTTATTTGAGAACAACTTCATATATAGTCTAGTTTTGGATGTGTAGCAGTGGCTTAATTTATATTTTAAAAATCCATTGGTTTTTGTCATTTATGCAGATGGTGGTCAGTATTGCTGAGGATCTCTTGCGAACTGCTGCACAAAACAGCAGACTCTCCTTGCAGCGGACTCAAGCTGGATGGCTTTTACTTGGAGCACTAATGACTTTAGGTTTGTATAAACAGTTTGTTTTTGTTTCATTTTAATGCTTGTCCAAGAGTTCTGATTATCCACTGTGGCAAATGGTCTCTACATATAATCAGTCCAGTATCTAGCACAAGAGTATTTATACCAAGGGAAACTGAGTGTGAGTGCATTTATTTCAGCAGTGTTGTTTATGCTGGGAAGAAGTGAAATATTAGTGTTTATGTAAGCTGAAGGATAGTGGAAGTTGTAGTATCTCAAAAAAATTCTGCTCTGTCTTAGAAATCCAACCTTTAGTCGTTCTATGAAAAAGGGAAAATCGTCCATAGTTTTGCTTCCTTAGTACTGTGGTGCAGTAACTCAAATGCAGTGAACATTCCAGCAAGTTGCATGTGTGCTTCTGGATAGGCAGTGCTGCTTTTTAGAAGTGTTATCAGTTGAAAAACCATTCAAGTGTCTTTTAAAAAAGCTGGTTGTTCATATGTTCCTATTTGCCGTCACAAAAATATGATAAACTGTATTTTCAGAGGTTATATAAGTATACTCCTAAATTTTGCAGCAATAGTATTTTGGGGTTTTTTGTTTGGGTTTTCTACACTGGAAAGTATGATGATAATAATACTGCATTCTGCAGTATTTTCATCTCACGACAAGTAACATTTTGTGTGTCTTCTTGCTTCTCTAAATTGTCTCTTTTTTTTTTTTTTTGCCTGCTTATTATCATGTTTTTCTAACAGTGTAATCTTATTTGGATTGTTTTTTCTAGTATATTTTTAATGTAATTGTACTGGATCTTCTGTATCTTTTTTTGGAAGTTTTCTTTAAACTTAACTGTTAATCTAGTTACATAATAACTGTCAGATACTTTTCTGTGAATTTTATGAACAAGGTAGCATAGGCTGAAGAGCTTGCCTTCAAAATAGAAATTATATAAAAAATATCTAAGAATAAAAAGATAGTAAAAAGGCAGTTGGCAGTGGTTACCTATTACATGACAAAATATAGAGTTGCCTGTTTGCTATTTTTAGTACTGCTATCAACAGCGTTACATATGCTATTCATTTGCTATACCTTCAACCTAGAAATGAGAAAGAATTTCCTTTGTTTTTCATTGTTCAAGCAGAGAGAAAAGGAAAAGTGAAATAAGAGAAAGAAAAATAGATTAAAGAGCAAAAGCCATCATGGCAGATTTTTCACACTTAGTTAAATGCGTGTTTTATTGTACTGTCACTTCATTTTTTTGCATAGGTCCCTCCGTTGTTCGGTATCATCTGCCGAAGATGTTGCTCCTGTGGCGCAACGTGTTTCCACGCTCTCTGAAGGAGTTGGAAGCAGAGAAGGCGAGAGGAGACTCTTTTACCTGGCAAGTAACGCTGGAAGGCCGTGCTGGAGCTCTGTGTGGTAAGAATGTCAAACTTTGAGATTACAAGATGTGTTAACCATAACGTGTTCCCACTTATCGTAGAGAGAGCTCTTAACTTCTCTGCCTTCTTTGAAAATGAGTAAGATGTGTCAGATTTTCATCAGTGTTACCTGGTTGTGTCATATAGTTTTATGAACGTGTTACGCGGTCTTTGAATAAGCATTTTTAATTGCTGCTTTTCTCATATTCTCTTAGAATCTGTTTCTTGCACATGCTTTATGTTTGTTAATTTCAGTAAAATTTTAATTTTAACTCTTTTGTTACTAGCTATGAGAAGTTTTGTTGCTCACTGTCCTGAGCTTCTTACAGAGGATGTGATCAGGAAGTTGATGACACCCATAGAATGTGCAATGACAATGATGTCACAGTGAGTAGGCAGTTTTTGCTCTTTATTCACTTTTGTCTTTTCCTGAACCTGGAGTTCTAGAACTAATTGATTTTAGTTTATATTCTGACCTAGTACTGCACTGTCACTGCTTGACTGTGTTGAAAAAAACTTTTAGGAGCATCGTGTTTATGGTTGTTAGCTTTGTAAAAGCATGTTATTGCATAGCCTGTGCTGAAGGACCTACTTTGGTAACTTGTTAACAGTGTTTTGGATTTCCAGTTCAATGAGCTTTTGAATCCATAGTTTGCTTATCCTGATGTAAGAAATTAGAAAATGAAGGTACCGGTATACTTCATGTTTATCAATAAACTCTCCTTTTATGAAATGTTCTAATGAAAAGACTTTAAATACTTTACAGAATAGAAGAAAATGCACACTTGTGGGTTGGGTTTTGTGGTTTGATTTCTCCTTCTCCACCTCCCTCTCCCTGTTATTAAAATAGGAGCAACCTCCTCTGAGGCGGTACCTCTCTGATTTACAGCAGTGCGTAGTGGGCTCTTTTTTTGTTCTAAAAAACGCTTGGTCTGTACATTTACCTCTGAAGATGTAGTGGTAATTAAGTAATGTTGCTCAGAGCAGTTCTATGAACACTTATTTCTTGTCTTGGCTAGAGATGTAAGTGAAAAGAAATCTGAAAATACACTTTTTCAGTAACTGCAGTATTTCTGTTTTTCTCTTTTTCTCTTTTGATTCTATAGTATTCCATCAGTAATTAAGGCCCATGGAGCTCATCTCAAAGCTAGTGCAGCTATGGTCCGTTTAAGACTGTATGATATATTGGCTTTATTACCTCCAAAGACATATGAAGGTACATAATTTTTTAATGATTTTTATCGAAGAAAATTGTACTTAATCCTTTCGATGCATTTTTCATGCTTGCCTTTGAAGCAGATAGAATATTCAAAATATAGAATACTGGAATCCTTAAGAATCTTTTACTATGTCCTCTTGACAGTATAAGTAGAGAGAATGAATATTGCAAAAACTTTAGAGTAATGTTTAGAGTATAGAAATTACAGTCTCGTTTGTAGGGTTGAGAGGTATGGAGATCATGTTCTGAAATCCGATATAGGTGGTTTATATCATTGTTACTTACAAGACAGAGAACATTTCTTAGTATACTCAAAGGACAGATATGAGAATGAAGATTTAGTTTTGGTTTATAGTTTGTTTTTTAAACTCGATTTGACCTACTAGACAGATTTATGCTATTACTATTAAATTACCAGGCACTGCCACATAATCTGACTGATTGGCTTTTTGGGTTTTGTTTGTTTTTGTTAATTCATTAAATATACATGATCATGTGGATGAGCAAATTTTTCTAAAATCTAGATTGTTATCCTGAAAGGGATGGCCTGATCTGTTGTTTAGAACACTGGCTTGGGAATTGGGAGCACAGGGTTCTGTTTGAAGCCTTGCTCTTGGCTCTAGTCTCATCAGGTTTATGTCTCTGTCTGTTTGCTGCCTGTAATGGTGCAGGCTTTGCTTTGTAACTTTTGATTACTACCTGAAATGTTTTGGATAAGAAGCAGCAATTATTGTGTTTATGTCTGTCCTTTTAGGATCATTTAATGCGCTTCTTCGAGAATTGGTTGCAGAATTTACTTTGACAGACAACTCTGCTAATACAACCACATCACTTCTGAGGTCTCTTTGTCATTACGATGATAGTGTTCTTCTTGGCTCTTGGCTGCAGGAAACAGATCATAAGTCGATTGAAGACCAGGTAGTAAAAAACTAGAAAGAACAGTGAATTATCTGCACTCTGCATTATGTGTGTGTGGAGGAAGCCTTCTAAAACTGGAGCTTCATGCCTTGTTTTAGTCTTATTCAGAGGTTTGTTAGACTTAAGTCCTTTTGATCTACAGTGCACCATCTTGATTTAAAACTGCCTACAGCTGAGATATAAATTGCATAATGCTACTCATATAGTCGTAGTTAGTGAACTAACCTGATTTTTTTTAAACCAAAACTGCTCCCTACCCCCATGCTGGGATCTTCCTAGTTGTTCTTTTTTATATTTTTTTGATCCAGGAGAAATGTCAGTTCCACTTAACTTGTGTAATAAAACTGCTGCCAAAATTTCAGTATTGCAAATGGTAATATAGCAAAACAAGATTTAGTTTGTTTTGTAGGTGTAATATGAAATTTTACATTTCATTTGGAAGTGTTGACACAATTTTGTTAGCATTATAAGGAATTTTCTGCACTTCTAAAAGCGAGTCTTTGAAATGTATAAATTAAAAATTTTAACAAAGAAAGCAAGTATTACTATGGGGATTTGGCTTAATAAAATTTTTCAGATCAACTGGTAATATTGACCCAGTTATTTTTCATATGGCCTTTGGAGAAGAAATGTAGCATAGGGAACAATTTCTTAATGTTAAATAGTTTAGGAAACTATCTGGTAATGGCTTTCTCTTTGCTTTCCTAATCTGTGATGACTACAAAGGGGATGGTTGCTTCTTCTCAAGCCTTTTATCCTCATAGATTTCAGGGTTTACTGATGTGGAGAAAAAAACCTTTGTCCATCTGGGTATACTGACGAACCTATCTCTGTATTTATAATTCTGCTCTGATTTAATTTTGTCAGTGAAATTTATTCCCTAGACAACTACCAATTTTGAGCAATTGCTGAACCATACCATCTTACACTTTGCAACCCAGTTTCTCGCAGATTTCTTGTTGTAAGAAGGGGGGAGCTGAAAATATATCTTCTGCAGCAGCCTATCTAATAATGGTAAGGTATCTTAGAAGGCAGCTATCTTGACTGAGCAGATCCAAAAGCCGAGCCTGATGCTAAGTGTGAGAAACCAAGGGGAAACTGTTTCTGTGAAAGGATCAGCATGCCAAATCAGAAAAGGGTTTTGTAAACTTCACTTGTTTGTTGTGGTGGATATAGGAGACTTCAAGTGCAGTCTTCAGTTCACAGGGCTTTTTGGGATGTTCCTCCTCTTTCCTGATGCACCCCTCCCACCTTTTTTCTTTATTTTTAACCTATAGCTTGTAAAACAGTGTCACTGTTGGTAACTGAGTCCATGTAGTGGATCACAGGATTCTCTTGTGCCTGGTCACGCTTTATCGTTTGGTAATACGGAGGTCTCAACAAATGTTTGCTCTGTTTTCTGACTTTCTAAGAATAATACAGAGCTACTAGATTGTAATTTTGTTTCATGATTAAATAATTAAGAAGTTACTAAAAAGAGTTTTTCTTCAGAGAAAATAGATTGTTTAAATGTATGAATAATGGTTAGGAAGTATTTTCACGATGATAGGAATCTTAGTAATTTTAGTGCTGTTCCTAAATCTTTTCTGTGTAGG